TGACTCAGCATGCTCCGCTCCCAGGCAGACAACGCACAAACTGTGTGTATCCGCACCCGTAATGAAACGCGGGCAGGGAGGAACACACAGCCTGAACGCTGCCTGCCCTCGCCTTAGGTGTCTGGTTTTTTTTTAGATTCGCTTGACAGACAACACTAAATAAGACTCACAAACAGATATCAGACTGACACACACACAGATCGCTTGCTGAATGACAAAAAGCTGACGATGGTCTCACCGCACGTGCTTTTATAGCTGCCTGGTCATTACGTCACCCGCCCGTGACGTCTCGCCCATCTATTGGTCTGATTACACACGAGGTTCAGAGCCGGTCACGCTGAAGGGCGTTCCCGAAGCGTCCTCCGACACAGCTCGAGTTCCTGAAGAGGAAACAGTATATATGGATTACAAGCCATTATATTGACTCTTTACGCAGCTGAAACACCGATTGAGCGATTACATGAGACAGGATATGACACTCTTTCTTTTAACTTACCTTCGGATGTTTAGTCATGATTATTTTGTGCTGAAACTGTTGAAATGTGGAGGAGATGATCGGTTCGCGTGCTCCTCGCACTGCCGCGTCTGTTGAACTGAGGCGCTACAGCGATCTAAAGAAAAGCAGGAGAAAAAAAATAATGGAATCTGACCAGCACATTTCTAAATGTATAAAGCGATGGAGTAATAAATGTAAGTGTGTGTGTGTTTGTACCTCTGGGTATTTCCTCTGTGATGGTCTGATTAAAAAGAGGTCTGACTGAGCCCATGTCCCAGAGCTGAGACAGATCACTGTCTGAACACATGCCTTTATTTTAGTTTCAGTTTTGCTTTATTTTCTTTGTTTTATTACATTTATATATTTTGATAACCTAGTTCATTTAACACTTAACATATAAAACGTGCATGAGAGTAGGGATAATTGTCAGTAGTAAATTTATTTAGAGTGTACTTATTTAATCTTAAATGAATTAAGAAATAATATCTTTCTTTTGTGTTTTTGGTTTAATAAAATAATCAAATAAATCGTGCATCATTTAAAACATAATTCTCCTTCAAGTTGTTTTAGGCCAGGTTTTTGGCCTGATATGGAAACAATATTACTTAAATCTGCATTGCTCTTGCCTACACGCTTTTGTGAAAGTAAGTTGGGGTTTTGTAATGAAAAAAGCATGAATAATGGTGACAGTTTTACATTTTGGGGTGAATTATGCCTTTATAAAAATTTTAATAATAAACATTAAAGCTGCAGTATGTAACTTTTTTGTTAAAAATAAAAAATAAGTTATTGAGCAAGTACATAAGACATCAGTGTTTAAAACTGTCTCCTTACCTCCCTGTTGAAAAAACCAGCATATGCTGGTTAGGTATGTTTTGACGCTGGGATGCTGGTTTAAGCTGGTCCTTTGCTGGTTTATGCTGGTCATGTGCTGGCAAAGGACCAGCATAAACCAGCAAAAGGACCAGCATAAACCAGCAAAGGACCATCTTAAACCAGCAAAGGACCAGCTTAAACCAGCATCAAAACATACCTAACCAGCATATGCTGGTTTTTCAACAGGGAAACAGGCTATAGTAATCGATTCTTGGGATTTAAGAATCGATATCGAAAATCGAAATATTGATATTTTGTTACCCAGTCCTACTCCATAATACTTCCAAGAATACTGTGGTATAACCATGGCACAGATAGCATGATAATACCATGCTACTTGTAGGGGCTGAACCTACCTCTGTGTAATTTGATTTATAATCCAGACGTATAATCTAATTTCACTTTGAATCTCTTTGTTATTGATTTAGTTTGAAATTGACCAATAAATAGACTCTTAGTCAGTACGTAAAAACAAAAATCTATTATCGTTGTGACAGTTCTCAATTACAGCTGTAAAGGACGTGCACATAATGTAATGATATTTATATTCCAGTCAAATTTTACAGTGAAATGCTGTGAAGCAAGCCCTTTTTTGTTCTGTGCAGAACGTGCAGGGCAGGCTCACAGACAGCGGTAAGTTACCCAGCGGGAGACGCATTTATTGCGCAGCGACCAGGTCTCTCATGCAGCCGGGAAAGCTGTATGGCTAATGCACCATCAATGCATTTCCCAGCTTCCACACTCTGCCGTAGATCGCTAAGTACTTTGTTTACTGATGGCCCTCCATTGCCCTCATCAAAAGCTAGTTCTTCACACTAGGACATTGGAGTCATTGATTTGATTAGTTTTTTTAAGTTTTTAAGTCTTAAGTATTTCTGCAGCCACGGCTGTCTAAACATTAAAAGGTTTATGAAAATACAAAAAAATCTCCCATGTCATTTTAATCCTATTATTTAATGTGTAAAACAGAATTTTTAAGACATATGGACCAGGGGCAGTCATGGTCACCATTCACTTTCATTGTACAGAAAAGAGCAGCTTGGATAGTCTGCTAAACATCTCCTTTTGTGTTTCACACAAAAGAGAAAGTCATGCAGGTTTGATCATCATGATAATTAATATATTAACAAACTACCCCGTAGACATGCCATTTGTAATGTTGAAAAAGATTAGGATTGCTGGAGGGATGACAGTCATGTCTATACTTTGGTCAGTGCTGGTGGAACTGAAATCTTTGTTGGCATGTTATTTATGGTTGAAGTGTAAATGTATATATTGGTCTACGTGGGTTTGGTTAATCTTATCACCTTACACCAACTGTTTGCCTGCTGTGTAGTTAACCGTGGTAAACACGGACATTAGAGCCCACCTAATCGCCTTGGGTCCTTTCTGTGCCACAGCTGTAATCAAGGGTGCTCACTCTTTTTCTGTCTTTCTTTCTCTCTCCCCTCTTTGCAGGGGAGCTAAGATGGGGCCATGTTCCCTGGCAGAGTTCCATACACAGCTCACCCTCCCACTGGAACGCCTGATTCCAGTTCAGCCCTTTACAAGACATGCCAGGACCCTTTGTGTGCCAGGCTGGGCTGGGTGTGCGGGCAGAGTGGGACTGCTTCCTTGAGATGTCATTATTGCTGGGGAAATTGCCACTCTTGTCAGAGGCTGCAGCTGGGTGGTATAGCATTTCATGAAGAAGCATCAGGGCTAATCAGCATTAAAAGCATCAGCAGAACAGTATTTCAATGCCCATATTGTCAGACACAAGTATACGAGTTTTTGTCTTCTCCTGTGTAATTCAGCTTGATGATATTGTATTGATATGTCATATAATTATCTCACAGTTACAATGGATGTGGGTTCTCCTTTGCGGGAATCAATATTACATAATTATTTTTAGATCTGGGAATTTTCATCTGCATGTTTCAAGTGCCAAAACATGTGTTGCACCTCAGTATTTAAAATCAGTATATTTAGGGAATGGACTATTAAGGATGCCACTACACAGAGAGATTGAGTCCAAAATGTAAGTCTCCACAGCATAAAACTATCTTGGAACAACAAATATACTGAATTGCAACATAAGTAAGTCATTAAGAGTTTTTTTTTTTTTCTGAAAAGTTTAAGATGGGCAGAGTATTCAAATCACTATCAACCCCATCAGTTTGTGTGGGCATGCAACACAAAGTCTATCAGAGATGCAAATTAGCTCTGCTTCATATACATTAATTAGGATTCCCAGAAGAGCAAATCTGCCTCTTGAAAACCGTAGCTGCCTCTTCAGCAGACCATCGTTGAGCCTTCGCAACATTGTCTTATACATGCTTACATGAACAGAAATAAATGGCTTCTGTTGAATTTCAGTACAGAGACGTACTCGTAATCTAAAGGGGAGCAGTGTCTGATGACTAATAGAAATTGAGCCAGTTAAAAGCTGTGTGTGGCTGGCATTTATATTTTTATATTTACATTCTCAGCAGACGGTTTCTTACGGAAACATTTTTTAATACAGACACAAAATCAAAATGTTTCATTCTATTTCTTGATATGTTAAATGTCTACAGATAATTACTTTAGGTTAATAAACCCACATTTTGATATGTTTTCAATTTGTGATAAATACAGTAGATAAAAATCACAATTTTGGACATAATTGCCAAAAAGAAAACTGCAAGTGAGGTTTTAAATATGAATGTAAGACTATAATACAGCTTTTTTTATAATACAGTTTTAATAATAATAATAATAATAATAATGATAATGATGATGATAATAATAATATGTAATCATATTTATATTACAAAGTATTATTTACTTTTAAAACATTAATTTAATGAACAAAATATTTACATGCTTTCCCTTTTTAAGCTTTTTTATTGTCAGATTCTAAACTTGTATAAAGTAGGGCACTTTTTGTGATGAAATATACCTACTGTCTTTCTCTCTCTTTCCCTCTATCTCCCCATCTCTCTCTTTCTCTTTCTGTCTTCCCCTTTAAACGGGGAGGTACTCTAGCGTTTCTCCACTGCCTGGGCTTAGAGACATGTCGGAAACCTCCCACGAGGGGCCCCGTGTAGAGAGAGAGAGAGGACTGTATAAGGAAGACAGAGAGAGAGAGAGAGAGGACTGTATAAGGAAGACAGAGAGAGAGAGAGAGGACTGTATAAGGAAGACAGTTTCTGTCGCTCTGCAGCTCCTGGTCAGGTCTGTATATTTGATTCTCTTTTGCTTTTTCTCGCTGATCTTTTTCCTTTTCTTCTTTGAATGCCTCTGTCTTGCTTGTTTGTGCTCTGCATCTTGTTCAGCTGTCACTGTAGTGTTACGCCAAATGACAAGTCTGATGCTGTCCAGCCTTCTACAACAATCGTACAATGCAGGTGGCCAAAAAATGGTGTCATTTTTTCCTAAGGTGTTCTTTCAGTTTGAAATGTATATTAAGTGCTATACACATATACATATAAATGTACCATAAAGTGGTTTGAAGTGTTTCAACAGAGTTGAATTGTTTCTCAGGTTCACAAAGTGTGTGTAGGATTTTATAGAGGTGTTTTAGAAAAGATTTTAAAAAATTTAAACAGGCAAAGTGTTTTTTTCTGGGTTAAATATTGACACGCTGTGAGAAAAGTGTGTGCAAGGGAAGGGAGGTGGAGGTCTCTAAGCGGCCACTCTTCCACTCTCGAAAAAGTTTGCTCCCCCTTGTTCGGCATGCATACATGAACGCAAGGGAGTGTGAGCGCGTATGTGTGCGTTTGCCGATGGCACGTGCATCTCCGAAGCGATGACAGGCTTCCCGGTGAGTGGAGTTACCGTGGTGACAAACTGGGGTAGGAATCAGGGACTCAAGTGGTGGAGGAAGGACAGTGAGGGGGCGGGAGGCACGCGTTTGTATGTGTGTGCCGGGGTGTTGCATGGGTGGTGTCGTGGATGTCATCTGCTCCTCAAGGAACAGTCATTGGTATTGATGGCTGGCTGTCAGTGACGGGCTCCTGGCTTGGTGCGCTGTGTCTGTGGGCTGGCCCGTGGCTGTTCTTTTCAATTACAGCAGACCTGGCCACAACTGACAGCGAAGGCATTTGTTCACGGAGAGAGTGATGTGGAGGTCGATGTGCATTTGTGTGTGTAATTGTGGGTGGAGGTAGGATCCCCTATGAGTGTGTGTGTGTGTGTGTACTTTGATACGGTAACTGTGTCCCGATCTGTGTGACTACACAGTGCAAATGTTGGTCACTCAGCCTTAAACTGTGAGGCAGCCACTGCTGCTCAAGGCTATTCTGGCAGAGATATGAGGTTATTTAATGGTCTTACTGCGGTTAAAAGACCCTTGTTAAAGTGAGTGTATGTGTGTATTGTCCAAAACACTAGTAAACAATACTATTGCTGCTAATACTGTAGTTCATGTTGACCACAAATGGTATTTAGTGGTGCTCATTAAGCAACCATTACTTTTATTACTCCTCATTTTTATGGGCAGGCATTTGAGTGATGACTCAAATTGGTTGACTTGTTCAGCAGAGTTGTACTAAGTGATCAGATTTACGGTTTTCACCTGGTGGACCATAAAATGGGTGGGGAAAAAAGCCCTAAGATTTACACAGAATAAAGGATCTTTGAAGGAGCGTGTCTTTGACGTGGTCTCTTATGTCTTGGGTCAGTAAGTAACCACCTAGCAACCACTTAGAACACCTTATCAACTGCATAGCAACATGCTACAAGCCTCTCAGAACATCCTTAGCAACCGCAACCAAAGCCCTGGCAACCACCCTGAACACCCTAGTGTTGTGGCGGTGAGTTTTGCACAGACAAGCAGCACTTATGTTGCCGTAATTCAATCAAAAGGATCAGTTTTTGTTTTTAGCATGTTTTTGATGTTCAAATCTTAATTTATTTTGTTGTTATGTAACTGTTCATGTTCAAGGCATCTTTTAAAAATCTATTAATTTGGATCATTTTAGATCCAAATCCATGTTTTCATTTGAGCTATATACACTGTACGATTCAAATCTGAGGTCAGTATGATTTTTTAAAAATTAATAGCTTCAGCAAGGATGCATTAAATTGATCAAAAGTGACAGCATAGGCATTTATAATGATACTGATACAAACGATTTACTGTATAAAGCAGCATCATATGACCCCTTTAAAATAAATGCTGTTCTTTTGAACTTTCGATTCGTCAAAGAATCTTAAAAAAATTCATACAAATTTTAAACAGCACAACTGTTTTTAACATTGATAATAAAAAGGAATGTTTTTGAGTACCAAGTCAGCATATTATAATGATTTCTGAAGGATCATGTGACACTGAAGACTGGAGTAATGGCTGCTGAAAATTCAGCTTTGCCATCACAGGAATAAATTACATTTTAAAATATATTAAAATATAGCGATTTTAAATTGCAATAATATTTCACAATATTACTGTTTTCACTGAATTTTTGATCAAAGAAAATGCAGACTTGGTACGCATAAGAAACTTAATTAAAAAAACATTGACATCTTACCAACCCCAAACTTTTGAATGCGGATACTAATATATTCAAAAGCATATTGGACACACTCTGATAAAAATAAAAGCTTCAATTTGATTCATTGACTTTGTGAAGTATATTCCCTATCAGAAGAGTATTGGAGGATTTTATCCGTGGCTCAGTGATTGCAATCAGCCGGATAGAAGGCTCAATAATGGGACCCAATAATCACAGGACAGCGTATCTGCTTATCACCTCTGCTTTATGGCTGTGCTGGACGATTCCATTAAAACAGTCTCTCTAGCCACACAACTGGGCCCTGCTGGCCATGTGGATCGGGAATTAAAGGTTAGCACCCTTCTGCTCGGAGGAGCTTCACACAGGTGGGCTGGGGATAGTGAATTATTGATGGGACTTGCCAGAGACTGGACACCTTGCCGAAGGGATTATCTGGGAAATCCTCGAAAGATACCCCCAGAGCTTTAGCCCAGGAAGTGGGCTGGATTCAGTCCCAAACCGGCCCCATCTGTCCCAGGCTCAACCCAGGGGACTCAGGAATGCCCCTGTGGTCTGCAGAGCTGTCGGCCCCAGGTGATCAAATGTTCAGCTTTGCCCTCAATCCCACTTTAGTGACAAACAGCTAAAGAGCACTACACATTCAGAGCACGGACATGTTGAGTTAATGTTGGGTCAGGGTCTGTCACCGGTCCTGTCTGGCGGCACAGAGAGTGTGTCGTTTTAATGATACCCTTCACTGCACTGACGGATCCAGGTGTGAGTTCTGTATAGCCAGACTAAACTGAATGATTTCTGTGGTGCATACTATGAAATAGTACGTAAAATAGTTTGTCATTCCTTATTGGATCATGACATACAGATATGTGTTTGCGCTGAGGCTGGCTTCATGCATGTCAGTGTGTGATTCAGTAAAATAATGACTCAGAAATGTTTGGAAACTCAGAAGGGAATGTCATAATTGTTTTGTAATACAAGAGAGATATGGATAATATATTCACCTACTTTCCATCTTATGTATGCTGTACAAAAGGGATTATTTTATTTTATTTTATTTTAATAATTTTATTTTACACTCTAAGAAAAGGTACAGTCTGAGAAAATCATGAATATTTATTTATTTAGTTTGTTTATTTCCGGAGCATTTTCATATTTATTTATTTATTTCACTGATCATTCTTCTTTTGATATATGCTATTAAGAAAGGTGACAATCTGAAATAATTACGGTCATAAATGTATTTATTATTTATTTATGTCATGAAAAATTGTAGGTACTTTTCCATTTGATGTACGCTCTTAAGAAAAGGTGCAATCTGAGGTTATCATTAGTATTTATTTATTTATTGATTGAACAATTTCAGGCCATTCTCCATTTGATATGTTTTTAAGAAAGATCATGATCATACATTTTATTTATTTATTGAACAATTTTAAGCCATTTTACATTTGATATATTTCTAAGAAAGGTGACAACCTGAGATCATAATCATAAAATTTATTTAACAATTTCAGACCATTTTCCATTTGCTCTATGTTTCTAAGAAAAGGGACAATCTGAGATTATGACGATCATTCTTCGACTATGCGTTTAGCACCCATACAAAAACTAAAAGAAGACTAGATGAAAGAAGGGATTGTGGGTAACAACGTGGGTCTGATGATCTCTTTTCCTTCTCATTTCGACATTTTGCTAAGCTGACAAAATGTTCTAGTGCATGTCCTCTGGTGTTTTCAACCCTTGACCCTCGTGTCCAGCCCTGGTTTGTTTACTGAAGCTGTGTGTGGTGAGGGGGGAGGGATGATTGTTGAACACTCTGACACAGAAAGCAAGATGTGGAATTCTGCATCTACTTCAAGCACAAAAATGATTAATGACAACTGTCACTATTCAGTATCAGTAATTTTGGGTATACCCTACACTCTTTATTTCTGTCATGTACAGTATTCAGAACAGTCTTTATGGTATGAATGTCTGTAGTGATGCATTTACATATGTCTTTTAGTAATTAGACATGGTATGGCTCTGCCTGACAATAAGAGAAATCAAAGACGACCAGACCTGCGGCATACACTATGTGCTGTTCTCTGCCTGTCGTCATGACAACATGCGCACCTAGCTGGCGTCCCTTAACCTGAGATGACTTTTGGAAACTTAATGGGAAAAAAAATAGATTCAGGATAATCCCTCAAAGCATAACAATACATTAAGGATATGCTCTGACTTATTATTATTTTTTTTAAATTGGTCAGTCAGGGGACTCATCAGTAGGATGCTCTGAGATATGCATGAACTTTGTTAGCAGCTGTAGGTCTGGCGATCGAGGGGTTGAGAAATTATGCAAACAACATATAGAGTCAGTTACAATCCAAAGGCAAAGCACAGCATGCATGGCTCAGCTTTGAGAGACTCAAACGTAAGTCCATGTCATATAGTATAACTTCCCTCTGGCGACTAGCTCAAACACTTACCTGGCACCTAATGCTGGATGTTAGCAGGAAACGTGGAAAAGTAAACTGAAAAACAGATGCTGCATGTGAAGCATGAATATAAACCCAGCTGCTTATTCTATTAGGTGAGGCTATGGGTGCCAGAATGTTTAATTTATTTGATTTATTTATTAATATATATATATCTATGTTTATATATGTAAGAAAATGTAGAATCTGAGATTATCCTGAGTATTTATTTATTTATTTAAAGAACACATTTTGGCCATTT